CCCTTTAAGGTATTGTCTTTTAATTATGGAGTTGTTTGTGACTGAGTTAAGTCTGTTCAGAGTTCTAACAGCATGGTTATTCTGAGTTCTGAGGTAGTTATTTGTTTTGAACACGACAAACGGTAGTATATGGGAATGTTATGGATTGTTATGAGACAAATGCAACTTATTTGCTCATAGACAGGATATGAGAATTTGATTACTAGCCATTAACTGTGAGCTGAAAGGACCCAGAAACTGAAATGAGAAAGCTAAGAGAAAAAGATAGGTGAAGGGACAGATTTCAGAATTGCGTTGGCTAAGTCTGAAGTTGGAAATGATGGATACTATAGCTGCTGCTGAGGGTTAAGTCCAATGGAGCAGAGGAACAGTTTGGAATCAGAATTCACCCAGTAGATAGACTAGTTTAGCAGAGACCTGTGCTCATTGAGGTGTTAGTCAAGCACAGCATGGATCAATTCAGCTTATCAGTGAAAATATCTGTTTAACACAGAAGTTATGTTCAACAAGGAACTTTTATGGACAGTTCCTGAGACAGAAATTGGATGCCAAAATTTATAGTTTCAGAGTTGTGAGACCTTGAGCACTTGGGTTTTCCTTGCTCATGATCTCCTTGTCAGGCTTCTGTAAGTGTGTACTTACTCTTTATCAGAGAGGGAGTGCATTAGTGGGAGATTTTGACTCAGGTTTGTGAGTGAATTTTCATTTATAATTTTTGTATTTGCATTAATATATGAATTCTTGTAATATTATTATTTCTCTTGCCTTATTGCTAAGTAAATGATTATGCTTTGGATACAAAAGTGTTACCCTTGTGAAATGTGAACTGTGTAAATGGAAACATATCAGTGGAGGCTTGAGAGCTAAAGTGCTGAGGAGGGGAACTATATTCCCCCACAAGATTATTCTTAGACTCTTGAAAGCATTGGTGTTTAACCACATGATGGGTGGTCTTTCTCAGGGAAACTAGTCCTGCCCATGTGGAAATGGGACAGAGTAAACGAATCAGCCCAGAAAAGAAGTATGTGAGTGGTATAGGGTGTTAAAGTGTGGTCTGCTACCCTACGCACCCATGACATTAATGCCGTAGATACCTATGTTCTTTCCCACCCAACTCCATTCCATGCACTTTAGGAAAATCACTTTGACAGCTGAATGGAGGATGGATTAGACTGGGAGAGGCTTGAGGCTGGCAGACCCCCAGCAGCTATGGCAAAAGTCCAGACAGGAGGTGATAAGGGTCTGCACCAGGGTGGGGGCAGTGTCAGAAGAGAAAAGGGAGAGTCTATGACAGATGTTATGAAGGCAAAATGAAGGACAGGGCAACAGAGGAGAAATTGAGAATGACACCTGGGTTTGGAGACTGCAAAGATGGGGGTGCCCTTGACAACATAGAGACATTCAGAAGGGGGATGATTTGGGAGGAAATATTACAAGTTCAGTTTGGACATGTTTAGGGTAAGATGTCTATGAGACATCCAATTGTAGATGTTGAATAGACAATTGGAAGATGGGAGTCTGGAGGTCAGGAGAAAGTGGTTAAGGCTGATACGAAGACCTGAAAATCATCAGCATAAAGATGAGAAGTTTTAGATCCAAGGGAGCTGATAAGATCTGCTCTCTCTAGGAGATCATGGGAAATGGGTGGGCTGAGAAAACTGGAAGGTTAGGGTTTTGAGTGAGTATCACTATGTATGTTGATGTCTCCTAGTGGGAAGGAGTATGCCATCTCTTACTGATTCCACTGACTTGTGGCTTCCTGGATCGAGGCACTCCCTTCACCATCATAGGTCGCTACTCCACACATTCCCTTTGAGAGTTTTTTCTTTCTTTCAGTTCTTCTGAGGGGATTCCTTGGTGGTCTTCTTCAGGTTCTTAATATTTTGTAGGGTCAGGCCTCACATTAGACTTGGATCACTTCTGTCCCCAATCCAACATGTTCTAGGCAACTTGGCATAGTGGATAGAGCCCTGGACTTGGAGTCAGGAAGAACTGAGTTCAAATCTTGCCTCTTACTGGCTTTGTGACCTTGGACAAGTCACAAAGGAAAAGTTGACCTTTCCGTGCCTTAGCTTCTTCATCAGTAAAATGAGGATGTTGGACTGGATGGCCACACTGATGTGAAGCAATTCCAGCTCCAAATTAGCGATACTGTGAACTTCTCTGCATTTCTCCATTGTCCTTTGGGTCACCCACTCTTAGAATTCTTAGATCTTGGCACCCCAGAATTAATGGCCATGGAGCATCAAGGGAAGATGACTGGGGGTCGCAAAGTTTGTCATACCAGGCAGAAAACAAAGTCAACAGAAAGAAGGGGATCAGAGCTTTCTGAAGAGCAGGAAAAGGAATCAAGGTAAGTCCCTCTAGAGCCAAGCAGAGCCCTCACTTAGGTGTGTGGGACCCCTTGACATCTATGTAAGAAATGTGCGAGTTACTCAGTGAACACTTGCCAGTCCTGGACTACGGGTGCTACAGGAATGAGGAGAGACAAGCACAACTCTTGTGTGAATAGCTCGACACTTGGAGGGTTCCTATGCATGGTCAAAAAATCCTTCCCATAGACTCAGAGGTTTGCTGAACTCTCCCTGAGGAGAAGGACTGGAAAAGAGTGGAAGAGAATGGAAGCAATCACAACCATATCCGGGAAGGTTGTGTTACCAGGAGGTCTAACTAGGCGCAGGTGCACCTATACATTGCCTGTGGTACTGAGCACCAGTATGTGGGTGGAGTAGATTGAGAAAGTACTAGGTCCATTCTGCCCTTCCTTTCAGTAGGAAGAACTCTGGGTTTAGTCAGAGGATTGGAGCTGGGAGGGATCTCAGAAGTTGGCTAGTCTAGCCAGTGCAGGATGCATTTTACTGAGAAGGAAAGTGAGGCCCTGGGAAGTGAGTTGACTTGCCTAAGGTTACACAGGTAGTACTTGCTAGGGGTGGAATATGAACCCAGGTTCTCTGATTCTGGAGCCAGCACTCTTTCCTAGTGGACCAGAGCTCAAATCCTGACTCTGACACTATGTGTGTGACTTCGGACAAGTCTGTGGGCCTCAGTTGCCCGTGAAGAACAAGAAGGTTGAAGTAGAAGACCCTTGGGCTCCTTCCAGCTTGACATCTCTGCTCCTCCAATTCTTCCCCACACTCCTGCCCACCCCGTCCCCATGGCAGCTCCCTATCCTGAGGCCCCTTCCCACGTGGGGCTTCCTGCTGGCTCTGGCTGCCTCTCTCCTCTATGCCAAGGGCCCTGATCTCTTGCATCAAGCTGCTTTCTCTGTCCTCCAGGTTTTCAGGGATCTCTTTTCCCTGGACTTCTGACTGGAGCCCAATTTTCTCTCTCCCCAGAGTTTCCTTTTTGTGTGGGTGTCAAGGTCAACGGAGAAAAGTAAAAATAAAGCGGCTAAGAGTTATGGGGAATGTCGTCCAGACAGGTGGGGGACAGATATGGAGAGCAGTGACAAGGGGGAATGCCAAACTCCCTGGCTCAGCTCTCACCAAAGGGACAGGGACAGCTGGATGGCAGTCTGGCCCCATGCCTCCCTCTCATGGTCTCTTTCCTCCCCTTCTCTGCTTTTTCAAAGTGCCTGCCTAGATCATAGAATCAGAGATTCCCAAGACTCAGAAGGGACACTTGAGGTCATGGAATTACACCCATAGCCTAGTAAGAAGCCTCACTCTGGTAGTCCTCAAGAGTGGCCGTCCACTCTCCATCCGAAGACTCCGGGAGCAGAGAGTTCACTCCTCCTGGAACAATAAAGGTTCCATGACTCAGAAATCTGAAACTACATTTTTGGAAAGCTCCCCTCATGTTTATTGTTACCAGATTTCAAATACTCAGAGGGAGTTGTGATTTCATTGTTGTGAAATCTGGTTTCCACCCAAGAGGCTAGATTTCACCTGTATGAACAAATACTCCTATCAGAGAAAAGTATCCCGAGGAGGCCCAGGGACCCTTCCATCCTGCCCAGGAGCAGGGCAGGGTGAAGTGCAGGAGAGGCAGATGAGCAGGTTTAGAGGTACTGGAGTAGGGGTACCATTGGTCAGACCGGGCTGTCCCATCATGGTGTGGGTGAGGGCAGAGCACAGCCAATAGGTACAGCAGGAGGGTCTTTGGATGGCATAAGAAGAAAAGTTACTCTAGAGATGTTGTGGGTGCTACTAACTCTCACTCCTGAGTGTCAGCGGCCGTGCCCCCAGAGCAAGCTGTCCTCTTGGAAGTAGTGCACAGACTGGAGGTGGAACATGAAACAACTGGCAGGGCCCCGAGGCCTGGAGGCTCCATCCAGAGCAGCACAGTGAATCATGGTGGCCAAAGGAAGACACTCACAGAATAGAACCATCTTTCCAATTCTCATCTGAAAGGTACCCACAGCATCTGCTAAGGGCTTCTTCTTCCTCTGTCTGAAAAAACACTACAAAGGCAACTAGAGTCCCCATGGGACCTTGGGCAAGTCCCCTCCCTCCTCCAAGCCTCAGTTTCTTCCCTTGTAAAAGGAGGCAGTTGGACTGGAGGATCTGAATCAGTGCAGGAGGGGAATTCCACTCAGGTGTGCCAAGAAGGAAGAGAAACAACGGCGATAAGGAAGAAAAAGGGGCATTGTCTGAAGAGTCTGCTGTGGGTGCCCAGAGACTCACCAGGCCACTTAGATTTTTAAAAAACATCAATCAGTCATTCATTCAACAAGCACTAGTGATTTTTCAGTTGTGTCCGACTCTTCATGACCAGAATCGACTCTTCAGGTGTGACGGGCAGTGCAGAAAGCCTTCCTCTCTCCCAGCCCTCCGCCGACACTCCGCTGTCTCGGTAGCAGGTGTTTATCACAGGTTCGCTTGCATTTTCAGGACTGGCTTTCCTTGGGATCCTACATCGATTTCATTTGAAGTTTATTATCCGTGATTAAAGGATACCAGGGGGCCTATATGAAACAGGTGGGTGAAGTTGTGTTCTTTTCATCCAAAGGTTTCCTACGGTTCTGACTTAATCTAAAAAAGATCAGGGTAAGTCAGTAGTTAAGCCAAGTGGAAAACTGTATTTAGGAGGGAAAGTCTGGTCTGGAAAACACGACTGGCTCCCCCTCCCCTCAGCTTCTTCCTTCTTTATGTTCACAGGCACAGGCACCCCGTATGGGGTGCCGAGTGAGGGGGGCTCCAGCGTCACTGCACAGATCTTTAGGGAAAGTTAGGATTCCATTGACGAGTTTTCATCTAAAGCGAGTGGCCAGTTGATGAGGTACCAGTTGGCTGATCTCCACCGCCATCATCTAACCAAGTTTAGGGCCAGGTTTGCACTGGACACTTAGGAGAAATACTAAAGAAGCAATAAATAAATTTTGCAAAGTCAGGGCACATTCTGACTTGGAATATTCTCTCTTGGGGACTGTGCGGAGGTTCTTGGTGTGTGGATGGTGTGGAAGCAGCTGCCATCACCCCTAGTTCTGGGATTTGTACAAGGTGGTCTCAGGAGCTGCTCTCTCACTTTCTTTTAGCGGCGCCTATTCAGATGCAAAGTTATTCACTCTGCAGCTGGAAATTGTAGGTGTTGGTCTTCCATTGGTTGACGTCCCCATCAATCATGCTGCGCTCGGTGAAAGTGACGTTCCCTTCGGCGTCAATGAGAATAATGGTATTGGTTCTGAAAGAAGCCACAGGACAAAGCCAGTTAATCCCCCTGCTTCCCTGGAATCCCTGGAGGGCTGGAGTTTTTCTCTCCTCCCTCTTTCTTCCCAGATCCCCGGGAATCCAGGCAGTGTCCAGTTAAACAGACAGAGGAACCAAAACCCCGCAAGGTGATAAAGAGCAAAAGGCAGAGCAGACTTAATGAGAATGCTTTAATATCGGTGAGTGTGGGCAAGGAGCCCCAGAAAGAAAATTGAGTTTGGATAGCAATTAGTCTGACACAAGTCAAATGAGCCACACCCGTCTTTGCGCTTTATTTGTCTTCATTTCTTTTCTAAAGAGCTTCTTTCTCCCTCAGGACAGCACAGACACATTTTTCCACCTCATGTACTCAGGAAGGCCCTACTACAAGCCTCTTCGAAGGCCTTTCCTTGTGGGCTTCCTGGGCTGGGGAGAGTCCTAACGATGAGAGGGAGGATCCTAGTGGACCCAGCCCACCCATGACCTCCCGCCTCGCATAGTGCCCTGATCCTACCCTAGACCCTGGATCTTCTCTGCTGTCTGCGGCAGGCTGCTCGCACCCACCAGAGGCTTCCCTGAGCGTCTGAACTTCTCCCAGGACTGCCAGGCAGACCCCATCGGCGACCGAATGGGGAAACTTCATACCCAAATCCTGAGCTTTTCGGGAAGAGCTCAGGCTGATTCACCCCCGACGGGGCTGATCCGGCGCAGTGAGCCAGGTGTCTGGCATCAGAGGCTCTGAGTTTGAACCCAGTTCTTCGACTTTCTATTGGGCGACTGGGCAAACCAGTTAAGCTCTATGGACCTACATTTCCTCACCAGCCAAATTAGGAGATAAAAAATGATCTCTAAGGTCCTTTTTTAGCTATAAATCTTGTGACTTCTGAAGCCAAGTCACTAGGGCAGCTGGTGGCACAGTGCATAGGGTGCTGGGCAAGGAGTCAGGGAGACTAAACATAACTGTAAAGGACATGGCAAAATTTTGCGACTTTTGCAAAATTCTAGAAATGCACACTGTTATTATCAGAATTCTCACGGGCTGTTTCCAATTGAGATACACTCACTTTCTGAAGGTCGCACATAGAGGGAGAACCCAGTCTTGCGCCATCCCTCAGGACATCCTCTTCCTGCTCTGTCTCCCCTCAGAGCCCCCCAGGGCCCTTGGAACTGTGAGGGAGGAGAAGGAAGGAAGAGGGAGCTCAGCCCTCTAAGCCCCTTCCCCTTCTGTTTTCTGAGGCCCATCCCTGCTTATGTCCCGTTTCTTCCATTTCCTCCTCAGGCCCTGTGGTTCTGCCCTCCCAGGAGAGCATTTCTCACATGGCCCCTTCTGTCCGGCCACACAGCTGCCCCAGGTGCCCATCACCTCCCCAGGGATCACTATAACAGCCTCCTGGCTGGTCATCTCCAGACCACCCTCCAGAGCTGCCCAAAGAATGTGTCTAAGGCATAGGTCTGTTGGCACTGCCCTGCCCCAGGGAGGAGGATAAAGCTCAAACTCCTCAGCCAGGAAGGCCCTTTGATGACCCTCCACACACCTTTCTCACCTGGCTGCACATGACTTCTGATGTGCCAGAGCTGGGGGAAGGTGTTGGAGCTAGACCAATACAAGTAATACAGCAAGTGTGGATTTATGCTAGAGACTCATCTAGTCAGAAGACCCCCAGGTCAAGAGCTTAATGGCTGCATTCCCTCCTCTGTACAATGGTTTGAGAGCCAGACTCATGTATCTGGGGGCCTAGGGTCTGGAAGAAGACTAGATTTGCTCCCCTTGGCCTCAGGGGACAGAACTGGGAGCATGGGAGGGTCAAGGGGGAGGAGGGTGACAGTGATTGGAATTTGTTAATCTGCCTCAATTTCAGGAAAAACTTCTTGCCAATCAGAACCAGCCCAAAAAGGGATGGGGCAGGCCCAGTGAGAGGTCATTCATTGGCCCTCCCTGGAGGTCTTGAGCCAAGGCTGGCCTTGGGTGGGGATCTCTACAGGGCGTTCCCCTCTGGGGGGCCTCTGAGATCTGCCTTGGAGGTTCAGTGTGAGGGTGAATCTGGGAGTCAGACTTGTCCTGCCCACCCCTCAGGCCTCCCAGATCAGGGAGCGCTCTTATTAGCAGCCAAGAGTCCCAGAAGCCTTCCAAGTGTGGTCACGTGCAGGCAGACCAGGGCCTCAGAGTTTCTGTGAGGCCCTGGTCTGCCTGCAGCGAACCATGAGTGAGAGAAACCTCTTTGGCAGGAAATCATAGCAGGAAAAAAGAATGGTGTGAGTCCAACTCTGTGCCTCCCAGAAGCCTGGGTGGGACTCCCCACACCTCCACAGGCTGAAATTATTTTCTCTAACCCAGGCCCAAGTCTAGAGCCCTCCTCCGGGAAGTCCTCCTGATCACCCCAGGCAGCAGTGATTTCCCACCCCGCCCTGCACACCCTGCCACGTGCTTATCCCTCTGGGTTTGGCCTTTCCTGGGCACCTACCACATCGTACCAGAGTTCCTTATGTATGTGTCTTATCCCTCCTTGTCAGACCCTGAAGGCTGGGTCCCTGCCCAAGCACAGCCCAGGAATAGGGAGAAGCTCAATAAACATTTGGTGAATTAAATGATGAACCGGCACAAACTACTTAGTCAATGTCATCCATTCATTTTGCCTCAATGCCTTAAATATATAGATATATTTTTACCTGGTGCCATACCCTGGACAGCGCACACACACAGCTGCGTATTTATTCAGGATGGGCAGGATATAATCCTTGCCCTGGTCTTCAATGGCAGGGTCTGGCAACTGGCTGGGAAGACAAAGAGATGTTACTTCTCACGCTTAGACCCAAGGACAGTGAGCCCCAGAGGACAGTGAGCCCCAGCATGCGCTCTTGCTCCACCCCACCCCCACCCTTCTAATGCCTCCTCTCCCCGAGGCCAGAGGCATCATTTGGCTTGGTCCAGTCACTCTTCTGTTCAAAACATCTCCAGGTTTTCTCACTGACTCATTCAAATGCTTATCCCAGCTAGTTAAGACCCTCACATCCATCACCATCCACCTTTGCCTGTCTTATTGCATGGGAATCCCTTCTGTGCTCCAGCCAAACTGGACAACTCACTACCTTGAAACATGCCCTCTATTTTCCCGCCTCCACTCCTTTACTCCTTCACGTGACATTCTCTATGCCTACAATGTCCTTCCTTCTCTTTGCCTGCTGAATCTCTCTCAGGTATGAGCACAGGAGTCATGCTGCCTTCCCCAGCAAGTTTTCCTTATCCTTTTGTTGGTAACAACCTGTTGCCCCCTCAGGTCTCATAATAAAAATAAAAAAATTTTACATAGTGTTTTAAAATGTTTTCTTTTTAAAATTAAATTTTATTTATGTTTTTATTCAGTAAAAATCTGCCTTCTTTACACCTTCCCCCACCTAAATCAAAAAAGAAAGAAAAACAAAACCCTCATTACAAGCATGTACAGTCAAGCAAAACAAATTTTGGAACTGTCCATGTCTAAAAAAGTCTCCAGGGCAGCTAGGTGGCACAGTGGATAGTGTGGTGGGCCTGGAGTGAGAAGGGCTCATCTTCCTGAGTTCAAATCTGGCCTCTGACACTTACTAGCTGGGTGACCCTGGGCAAGTCACTTCACTCTGTTTGCCTCAGTTTCCTCGCTGGTAAAAATGAGCTGGAGAAGGACATGGAAAACCACTCTAGTATCTCTGCCAAGAGAACCCCTAAAAGGGGTCACAAAGAGTGGCTGAAATGAATGAACCACCACCACTCTGAGTTCATCACCTCTCTGTCAGGAGCTGGGTAGCATAATCCATCAGGACTTCTGGAATCATGACTGGTAATTCTGCAAATCAAGTCTTTAAAGTTGTTTGCCTTGACGTTATCGTTGTCATTGTATACATTGTTTTTCCTAATTCTGCTCCCTTCACTCTACATTAATTCTATCTCCTTCATCGTTTCTTACAACACGATCCTATTTCGTCACATTTATATACCATCACTTATTCAGTCCTCCCACAATTGATGGGCACCCCCTCAGTTTCCAGTCTTTTGCCTCTGCAAAAAGAGCTGCTATAAATATTTTTGTACTTTTTAGTTTGTTTTGCTTAGAACTAATCCTTGCCTTAATCTACCCTCACTCTTATTCCTTTCTTTCCACTCTTCCTTTCCCTCTTGTTTCCCTGTTGGGTGAAATGGATTTCTGTACCCAACCCTGTATGTTTGTGTGTGTGTGTGTGTGTGTGTGTGTGTATTCTTGTATTCTTCCTTCCTTTGACCACTTCAGATGAGAATGAGGTTCAAATATCACCTGTACCCCCAGCGCCTTCATCATTGCTTATACCGATTTCTACTTGAGCACCCCAATTACATGAGATGATTTTCTCTATTCTTCACTTCTCTCCAAAACAGAAACACTAGGTCCCAGCCCAAACCCCATTTGGTCATCCTTTGGAGTATAAATAGCAATTGTTTCTGGTTTGGCCAGAAACCCTGACGGTCTTCCTCTCCCAAATTGATTTTTTTTTTTTGACTAGGTAAAAGAGGCCATTCTTTGCTTCATTTCTTACCTAGCCTTAATCACTGAAGGGCGTTGCCTCAGACAAACTGAGACCTGGGAAAGACTTTAGCTTAAAAAGCCCAAGGTCTCCCACTGCATCTGGGGCCATCTCCAGTTCTCCTGATCTATATCTTGCCACTGGGCCCAGATGGCTCCAGAGGAGAAAGTGAGGCTGGTGACTTTGCACAGCTCTGCCTCAATTAAATCCAGTTCACTTGCAAGTCATGACATCACCTTTCCAATGTCATGGTCCTCTTGGAGAACAAAGGACAAACGACAACAAGAGAGAATGCTTACATAGAATGTAAGCAGTTTATGCTTGCTCCTTCATGCTTACCTTTTTATGTTTCTCTTTGACATGACAAGGAATGACTTTTATATGAAACTCTACAGTTTACTAAGTACTTTCACATACATAATTTTCTTGGATCCTTGAAACAACTCTATGAGGTAAGTGGTCACATTTTACTGATGAGGAAACTGGTTCAGGAAGAGTAAATTATTTGCTCATGTTTATAAAGGGAGTAAACAGAGGGATGCAGGAACTGGACTTAGGTCTTCTAGTTCTAAATTCATTATCTTTCTTTCTTTTCTTTTTTTATATAATTAATTAATTAATTAGTTTTTAGTTTTCAACATTCACTTCCATAAGATTTTGAGTTTTAAATTTTCTCCCCCTCCCACTTCTCCCCTCACCCCAAGATGGCATACAATCTGACATAGGCTCTACATATACACTCATGTTAAGCATATTTTCCCATTAGTCATACTGTAAAGAACAATTAGAACTAATGGGAGGAACCACGAGAAAGAGGAAACAAAACAAAGCAGAAGAAAAAAAAGAGCAAATAGTCTGCTTCCATCTGCATGCATTCAGACTCCATAGTTCTTTCTCTGGATGTGGACAGCATCTTCCATCATGAGACTTTTGGAGATGCCTTAGATCCTTGCACTGCTGAGAAGGGCTAAGTCTATCAATATTAGTCATCACACAATGTGGCTGTTAGTGTGTACAACATTCTCCTGGTTCTGCTCACTTCACTCAGCATAAGTACATGTAAGTCTTTCCAGGTTTTTCTGAAGTCAGCCTGCTCATCATTTCTTATAGCACAATAGTATTCCATTACATTCATATATCACAACGTGTTCAGCCATTCCCCAATGGATGGGCATCCCCTCAATTTCCAATTCTTTGCCACCACAAAAAGAGCTGCTGTAAATATTTTTGTATATGTGGGTAAATTCACTATCTTTCAATCATAATACAATGCCATCAATCCAAATACAGTAGACCCCCACAGCTTGTATATAAGGAATTAAAATGCACCATAGGTCAAAACTTGTCACAGAATACAAAAATTACAGATTTTGGAGCTGGAAGGGGTTGTGGGGATCATCTGATCTGACTCTCTCGTTTCTCGGATGGTGCTGAGAAGGCCCAAGGACGAGTGTAGTGAAGCTGAGGCAGGAGTCCAAGGGTCTTGACTCTCATTCCAGTGTTCTTTATCATGGACCATACCACCTAGTTCATATGGACCTTAGGGGAATTGTCTCTAAGTTGGAAATAATATTTTATACTTTGGATCTAAAATGTCTATTTCTATACCAGGGAGTCTACAAACAATCAAAGGACACACAAGTGTGGCCAGCTCTGGGGTCTCGTCAGAGAAGGGAAGACCACAGAGCTAGGAACACATCCTAATGTAAACCTCAAAAATAAAATAAATGAAATTTCCTGTGCTAGAGATCATCTAGCTATTAACCCTGGGGTAGGGAAGGGGACAGAAAATCTTCGAGAATCCCTTCTCCATTTGACTCCCCTTCAGATGCCTGAAGACAACTGCAGGGACAACAGACGGACTCAAACACTCCACGGTGTGGGAAAGATTCAGAAGTTAGGCCTCCACAGCAGAGGATGGGAATTCTGAGGAGGACTTCCAAGATCTTGTGGCTTGTCCCTCAACCAATCAGAAAGTGTCCGAACATTCTGTCAAACCGCTGCTTCCTTAAGACAGAGCCCTGGAGGCTAAACTGGTTGCAAGGCCTTGGGGTCAAGGACTGAGTAAAGACTTTTCTCCACAGTGTTTGCTTAAGGAGCTTTTTGAATATTAACCGACACACCCCGAGGGTGGAGGGAGATGGCTGCCATTTTTGAACATGGGACATATGAACTGGGAGGAGTAAACATGAAGAAGGGCAGTCCAGCCAGTGAGTCAGAGGATGGATTTGAACTCTGGTCCCCCTGATCCCCAAGGCCCCTTCTCTGGGATTAACTATGGAGTCAGATAACTTGAGGCTGCCCAGTGATTTAGAAAACCACAAATGCGCATTATCTATGCTGTGTTGTATTTGCCTTTATTGTGTTAAACATTTCCCAATTACTGTGAATCTGGTTGGGCCTGCACTGGGCCAGGTCTTCTGGAAGTGAACCTGGGCCCCATATTGCCTTTTTTTCCCCTCTATATTTATTGTCCAAACACCTCATTTTACAGAGCAGGAAACTGGGATCCAGGAAGAGAAAGCCACTTGTCTGGGGCCACAGAGCTCGTACCCGGCAGAGCCAAGGAACTCGGCTCTAAACCCAGGTCGTTTGCTGCTCTGTTTCGCAGCTACAGAAATCAAAGCACAAAAGTTGAACAATGTAGATTTCATCTGGAAAAACTCAGGCCATGAGATTGTTTCAGACCCGGGTGAGGATGAAGTTGATGCTGATGGAGGCGGCCTTCCAATGCTGATTAACTGACATCTGAGTGGGCGCTGAAGCCACCGTTCCCTTCTGTTTTTTATTCACTGTAGACATCCTTGACCTGTCACCCGCATTCTGTTTGCCTCGGCCTAAGGGCTCACAACAACTCAGAAATCCTTCTATTTACAATCATGGAAAGCAATCAAATGATGAGGCAAGACCTCACCCCGAAGAAGGTGCTTGGGCTGAACCTTGAAGGAAAGGTTCCAGGCACGGGCACAGCCAGGGCAAAGACAAAGAGATAGGATATGTGTGGGGGACAGCAAGAAGGCCAGTGTGGCTGGAGCTGAGAGTAAGGGTTGGGGAATAAAGTGTAAGAAATCAGGAAAGGTGAGAAGGGGGAAAGAGCTTTCAGGGGCAAATGGTGACGTTTCTGCTCAATCCCACAGGCGACAGGGAGAAACTGAAGTTTCTTGAATAGGGGCTGAGGAGGCAGAGAAATGCTTTAGGAAACTCTCTGGCACCAGCTGGAGGGTGGATTTGGGGGGGAGACTTAAGTTGGGGGCTATTTACAAAGCCATTGCCATGGTCTAGGAGCAAGGTGATGGTGACATGAGCACAGAGAAGGAGGAGATGTGGGACAATGTTGTGGCAGCGGAAATGACAAGCTTGGGCAATAACCTCTGGTGAGTGAGTTGAGGGTGGCCCTGGGGTTACAAAGTGGGGTGACTGAAAGGATGGCGGTATCCTCCAAAGGAATGAGGGGGGGGTTGGGGGAAGAGAAGAGCTCTGGTTTGGACATGTTATATTTCAGACATGTCTAGCACTCGAAGCTCACAGTGTGGGCATGGGGCAGCGGGGGCTCCTCCCTGCACTCGGCATCTGGGCCCCTCCCACGGACCTTGTGCCTCCACCAAGGGTAGGCTGGGAGCGTCCTCTCATTTGCCTTCATCGGAGTCCCGCTTGGTCTTTACAATTCTGTGGATTTTTGGGGTGCGATTGTCCTCTGCATTGACATTGCTGACCTCATCGTGTGCACTGCTTTCTTGGCTCTGCTGACTTCCCTCTGCTTCAGTTCAAACAGATCTTCCTACGCTTTTCTGTATTCATCACACAGGCCGTCTCTTGGAGCACTGCCACATTCCACTCCCTCCACTGACCACAATTTGGTTAGCCATTCCCCAAGTGATGGGAGCCTTCCACTCTTACTCTTAATGGCCTCGTCAGCTCTTGGAGGCTCAGTCATTCTCTCTGTATATGACGCCCACGTCCGTCCATTCAGACCCATCTCCCTTCTGAACCATGTCACCAGGTGCCTGCTGGACCTCTCCTCTCGGACGTCCTACAGGCATAGCCATCTCCTCCATCTCTGTAGGTACCAATCAGGCTCATCTCCCCTGCTCAGCCCTCCTCCCACTGGGCTTCTGGTCACTCAGGTTCACAAACACAGAATCATGTTTTGCTTTTCTCTCCTCCATATTCCATTTGGCCCCAAGTCTTGTCTCTGCCATCTCTCCCCCCTCTCCCGCCCCTCACATGGCCATCACCCTAGCTCAGGCCCTTATCCTTGCTTGCCTGGACTCTTTGTAATGATCTGCAACTGGTCTTTCACCTCTTTAATCTTCATGCAGTTGCCAAGATAACGTTTTTAAAGGGTGGGTATGACCACGGTCCCTCTCAAAAATCAACAGTGGCTCCCTATGTCTCTAAGACAAAGTCCACCATCCTTAGCCTGGCATGGAAAGTCCTTCACAAGCTGGCTCAGTATGTCACCTTCCCTTCCTCACTTCATACACTCTTTGATTGGGCCAAAATGGCCAATTGGCTCTTCCCTGAATATCCCTGCCCCCACACACCTGGAATGGTTCCCTCTGGGAATTCTCTTCCTTCCAGGCTTGGCTCAGGTGAGACCTTCAGGTGCCTAGGCCTTAGTGCGCTCTCCTCAAATCTGGGAGTATTTACTTACCTGTTTGTATCACTACATCCCGGCCGGGAAAGGGGATATAGGGAAGGTGATAGAGAAGTGGCCTTGCTGGGTGCTGAGAAGACCTGGGTTCAAGTCCTACTTCTGACCCTGCTTCCTGAGTAACCCTGGGCAGGACACATGACCCCACCAGGCAGGTAAAGCCTTGAAAAGTAGTTTGGACCTTTTAGTGGAAGGGGTTTTCTCATCAGGAACTTCCTGCGCTAGTGACATTTATTTATTTTATTTTTTTCGCTAGGAAAACGAGGCTGGGTAAAAGCAGTCTCCCCAGCGGACATGGGGCACTTTTCATTTTTGTCTTGTATCTCTGCCGTTTAGTACTGTGGAATGAACACAGTAGATGCTTAATAAATGTTGAGGGAACGGAACTTCACTGCCTGCCACCTTGCCTTTTTTGGCCATCATGCATTAACTAGTGTAGCCCAAGACTGCGTTAGTCACAGTTCCTGGAATGTCTCACGCTTTATCAGGAAAACACCCGGCCAGTGTCTTGTTGAGGTGTGGGCACTTCACCAGGCAGCCGGCGGTCATGGGTGCTGGGCACACGCAGTTACCCGACACCTCTGCTCACCCGCCGTATCTCTGGACCCCAAGCCTTAACTCTCCCCTGGCACCTCTCCTCCTATCCCTGCTAGAAGTCAGGGAGGTGTGTAGACAGAAAGCTCCTCCCCACTAGAGAACGGCATTTGCTGGAGATGAGCTCTTACCATTCCTGATTATTCATGACTTTGAGCAGCTCAGTGATCAGGTCTTCTTTGGTGAGGTCCTGGCTCTGGTCGATCACATCCACAAACAGCTGTTTCCCATACTGAAGCTTCTTCCAAGGTGTCTCCAAGAGAGAATTGCTCAATCCATACACACCTATGGATTTGAAAATTCTTTTATAAATGAGATTCGGGAACGCTTGGCTGGCCACAGTCCAACAGAGCAGCCTGGCTTATTTCATGCCCTAAGAGGGAACATTTTTTCTAGTGTTTCAGCATTTACCGAGCTCTTGAATGCCTGCCTCATGTCATGGGCTCCTCTGGCACAATCCCTGTTGTGCAAATTCTACAGAGAGAACCATGGAGATCTCTATCTCAAACTTCCTCCAGATCTTTTCCAAGGTTGGAAACTCCCTCCCCTGAGTGTTGTAATCTGCTCTAGAACCTAACCTCCCAGGAGCACAGATGGGAGGCTGAGAGGCCATGGTAGAATGAGCAGGAGAAGGAGGCAGCCTGCCACCCTGGCCGGGACCCAGAGGTTAGGTGACTTGTCCAGGGGCATGCAGTTGGTAAGCAACAGTGACAGGACTGGCATCGGGGTCTTCCTCCTTCTGAAGCTGCCCCATGCTGCCTCTCTGCTGCAAAATTACAAGCTTCCTTATTCCCATTTTACAGATGGCTCCATGGGGTTCACTGAAAGCTGGTATCTACCCTACACTGAAGGACCCTCCTCCTTGCTAGGGTGCCTGGCCTGGGGCCTCTGTATCTGGGAGGGCGCTTTCTGACCCCTTCCCTGAGGCTTGTCACAGGTAGCAAAGCCAAACAAAAGAGATGAGGACAAAGGTGAACTTCCCAGGGAAACTCTCCCTCATTTTCATTGGGTGCTCACAGCCTAGATGAAATACTTGCCTAACTCAGTTTCTGTTGAAAAAAAAATTTTCAAAATTCTCCAGAAGTATAATGTTCTAAATTAAGCAAACTCAATTATGTGTATTCACAATGACCTTATAAACAGAAAAACTGATCTAGTATGAAAAAGGATTGAATTTTTCAGTTTGTAAAAGCATCAGCTGCTCCATGGAGAGACTTATATAAATAAGATGGGGGGAAAATGGCCAGGCACACACGCAGTAGAAATATACCTTGGAGTCAGAGGGTGCGACATATTAGTTTTGAATGTGACTTGAGAACATGGAACAGGGAATGGGAGGGCTGGGAGGACCTTAGAACATGGAATGTTAGAACTGCGAAGGAACCTAGGATAGGGAGTGTTAAGAGAAGGAAGGGTCCTTGGACGACAGAAGGTAAAAGTTGGAAGGGTCCTTAGATTATAGAACGTCTGAGCTGGAATGGACCTTAGAAGATAGACCAGGGTGGGGGAGGGGGGAACTGTGGCCTGACACTGAAGGTCGGACCTTAGGGCAGAGATTGTCAGAACAATGGGGGGCCCTTAAACAGAGAATGGAAGCATAGCCCCCAGATCATTACATTGTGCATACTTTGTGCATGCCCTTTGACTCAGTGGCACCTCTCCTGGGCACACATCCAATGACGTTACAGAAAGTGAGCCAGAGCTGACATGTACAAAAATACATTTTGTTGTTGCAAAGAACTTTGGCTAGAGAATGGTGGAATAAATCACGGCATATGTACACAGCAGAACATTATTTAGACACAATGTGACCTGATGGATAAACACTGGACTTGGGGTCAAGGAGATCTGAGCTTGATTCCTGTCCCAGATACCCAGAGCAAGCCGTTCAGTTTCTTCATCTGCAAAATGGGGACAAGAGCATCTACCTCACAGGGTTGTAGAAAAAAATCACACGAGAATATATAAAACACTTTGCAAACCACAACTATCATAGAAGAGTTAGCTATTACTGTGCCATAAGAAATGACAAAAGGCCCATGAAAGCAAAGTGAAGTGTGCAGAAATGGGCCAACAACGGACAGGATAATGACACCATCGTTCATGTATGGGCTCCAGAGCTCTGATGGATGCAGGGACAAATGACAGCTCCACAGTCAGGATGAATCACGCCTGCCCCCTCATGGCGGGAGGTGACGGACGCCAGGCTTTGCCAGGCATGGACGTGGCTTGGTTTGGCTCCACTCTTTATGGGGGCGGGGGGAGTGGGGGTGACGCCAAAGGAAAAGAACAAACAGAATCAATGAAAGTTAAAAATACACAGAAGAGAGTGGCAGGAGGAAACTCAGGAAGCCAAGGAGGCAGTATCAGCACTAGGGTGTTAAAGTTATTTGTTTTTCAGTCATTTCACTCGTGTCTGACCCTTCATAACCCCATTTGGGGTTTTCTTGACAAAGACACTGGAGTGGTTTGTCATTTCCTTCTCCAGCTCATTTTACAGATGAGGAAACTGAGGCAAACAGGGTGAAGTGACTTGCCCAGGGTCACACATCTGGTAAGTGTCTGAGGCTGGCTTTGAACTCAGGTCTTCCTGACTCCAGGTCTGGTGTTCTACCCATGGGGTCACCTAGCTGCCCCTAAATTTATTAGAGACTTAAAAAAATAAGCTGTAGGCAACAGAGATTCTTGGTTTCATATGTAATCCTCTTTTTCATTTCTTTGTATATGGAAATGTTCATGCTTGTTCATGTCTGTCATGTTGACGATAAAAAAACGGCAGAGAATGTCGGAGCTGGGAGGAGCCTTAGAACAGGGGATGTCACTATCTAATATCTTTTTTTGCCCTCTGAAACTGCCTTTTCAATTAATTTAGTGAGCCATACTAAGAAATACTGAGATAAGGACTGAGTTCACAGCTCTTAGGGAAGCTACAGAGAGATTTTAGCTCCATGAAAATCTAGAAATCTGGTAAGCAGTATAAAAGTGCTAGGGTTGACAGTGAATTAATTAGGTGGCAGAGAACAGCCAAGAACTGTATCTTCTCTTTGAAGGTATAGAGGTAAAGTAGGGAAAGGACTAGGAATCATAGCAATACCAAAATACGTTTAGGTTATTTTTTAAAAGATAAGTTCTAAAAATAATTGTTTGGTTCACTGATATTTATGTTTACCTGTGCTAGTTCTGTTTTAAAGAACAAAAGGAAAACCATCTCCATCTCATATAAAGCATGCTTGTGACATATGCCCACTTCTTTGGATGTATGGCAACTTTCAAAGTACCACAACTACCTGGTATGGCTTATCCCTAACTACAGACAGGTGTGCCTCTCTAATTGTGAACTTTATGGGTATCTACTCTTCACAATGACGTTATATGTATAAATATTTGTTGGAGAGTACATCCCTGATTTAAGAGTAAGATATTTTGTTATTATGCTATTATGCTATTTCAGTTAATGCCTTTGCTTTGAGGTAATTGTGTCCTCTGCCTGACTACTAAAAGGTAAACACACTGGCGGGGGCTCATGTGATATAGTTTTAGGAGTATGGATCTTCTGAGTATCTTCTTTATGAGATACTCACAAGTTTGTGACCTTGAGTCATTCCTTAGGGGGCCCAAAACTGTGAGGATAAGTTCGCAGCAGGGAGCACAAGAGAGCACTACACTTCAATTTAATTCAGTTTGATAAACATTTATTAAATGCCTAGCACGTGCCAAACCCTGTACTAAGCACTGAGGATACAAAAAGAGGAAAAACATAGTTCTTGCCTTCAAGAAGCTTACAATCTAATGAGGGAGACAGCACGAAAATAAATATATACAAAGCAAGTTATATACAGGCTAAATTGGTGATAATTAGTAGAGAGAGAAGGCACTGGAATTAAGAAGGGTTACGGAAGGCTTCCTGTAGAAGGTGGGATTTTTAGATAGGAGCTAAAGGAAGCCAGGGAGGTCAGTGGTTGGAGCAGAGGAGAGAGAGCATTCCAGGTATGGGGACTGCCAGAGACAATGCTTAGAGCCAAGCGATGAAGTGTCTTTTTTGTGGATACTTTTTTTTTGTCTGGGCAATGAGGTTAAGTGACTCGCCCAGGGTCACACAGCTAGTAAGTGTTATGTGTCTGAGGCTGGATTTGAACTCAGGTCCTCCTGAATCCAGGGCAGGTGCTCTATTCACTGCGCCACCTAGCTGCCCCAAGTATATGGAACAGCCAGCAGGCCAGTGTGACTGGGTTAAAGAGTATGTGTCGGGAGTGACGTAAGAAGACTGGAAAGGTGGGAGGGGGCTAGATCTTGAAGGACTTTGAATGCCAAACAGAGCATTTTGTATTTGATCCTGGAGGCAGTAAGGAGCCAATGGAGTTTTACTGAGCAGGGGGTGGCATGATCAGGCCTGAGCATCAGGAAAATCTCTTTGGTGGCTGAATGGAGGATGGACTGGAGTGGGGGGAGACTGGAGGCAGGCGGACCCCCGAGCAGGTACTGCAATAGTCCAGGTGTGAGGAGATGAGGGTCTGCCCCAGGACAGGGGCAGTGTCAGAGGACAGGAGGCAGAGGCAGAATCAACAGGTCTTGGTACCAGCTTGGATGTGGGGGGTGAGAGAGCATGAGTGGTCCAGGACGACACCGACGTTTGGGAGCCTGAGGAATGGGAGGAGGGTGCTGCCCTCCACAACTGGAGCTGTGAGACTGGAAGTCAGGGGAGATAGGAAAGGCTGGAAAGGCAGATCTGAGAATCATTAGCACAGAGAAGAGCTCACCCAGTGAAGAAGTGTTGAGGACCCAGGACAGAGCCCCAAGGGACACCTGGGGTGAGAGGGCATGACCTGGAGGAGGAGCTCCGGTCAGAGAGGGGGGAGGAGAACCGGGAGAGACGGTGTCCTGAAAACCTCGAGAGAAGAGAGAGGCTGAAGAGGAGAGAGGCCGAGGAGGAGCAGGGCTGAGAAAAGGCCACTGGATTTGGCAATGAAGAGATCACTGGTCACTTCAGAGAAAAGAGTTTCAGTGGAACGATGAGGTCAGAAGCCGGATTGTAAGGGGTGAATAAGAGAGTGAGAGGAGAGGCAGTGCAGGCCCCAGTGTAGACACTTTTCCAGGAGTTTGGCCACACAGGGCAGAAGAGGTACCAGATGAGAGTTAGCAGGGGCAGAAGGATCAAGTGAGGGGCATGTTTGTAGGCAGAAGGGAATGAGTCAATAGAGAGGGGGAGACTGAAAATGAGTGATGACGTGGGGATAGGATGAGGGTGACAGAGAGAAGGGGCAATCTGTTGAAGGAGACAGGATGGA